TTGCGTGTTGCGATTGGCTCGCGCGCGACTTTACGTCCACGACGCCTTACTTCTGTAATTCTGTGAGCGACCGGTGGAACGGATTAGGGAACGTGTTCGCTCGACTACCTGCTCTCGCGATCAATGACCAAATATTCTAAACAGCCTGTAACCTGTAGCGAATGTTATTGTTGTAAGGTTAGGGAAAGTGTTCTAGTTTCTGGACTAAAATAATTGGATGCGTATGAATTCTCAAAAGGAAAGAAACTACGCGCAATTGAACAAGGAACTCCTTGTTTAATCGTCTGTATCAGTCACTTTTTGTGTTGTCTTTTTTTCTCTCGGTCAATGGACTAAACATTAGAATGTCTGATATCCCGCCAAAGCGACAAAACACTAGTTGTGGAACGTTTATCTGTTTTTCTTCAGTGAAACATTTGTGTTAGGTTTGTTTTTTCGTTAATTGAATTAGTGTACATTTTTGAAACAGTGAAATAAATATATATGTTTGATATTTAGCGGAAACGGATAAAAATTTTAGTATTGTTGCAGGGATAAAAAGACAGACTTTGCAGATAGTGTTCTGTTTCTTTTTGTTAATGGACTTCGATCGCCATATCAGTTTCCAGATAAGTTGTCGAAGGTGTGAGAGTGGCGCTTCTTCAAACAGTGATTGATAGATTTATGACTCCTATGTGGATAGCCGTGACGTTTATGAAACGGCAAAAATGGTCACCGTGCAAGACATAGGTTTACAACTTACGAAGCCAGTGAGAGAGCTGGCACAATGGAATTTTCCCTTTGCTCAGGTATATTTGTAATAAAATTATAAAATCTTATGTCGGTGTGATAGTAATACGATGTGTATTGAAATAACGTCTCTTATTGTTACAGACTCTGGAACAATACTGTTCTTTGTTCAATACAACGTGTAATAAAAGTTTCGGTGATGCTGGACTTGTTTTACAAAATTCCACGGCTGTCTATGTGCATAGACTTGATTCTCTCTGGACTAAAGTCGAGTATTGTAGAGATGTGTTATCAACTCAGGAGTAAGTGGTTTAACTTACTGTTAACACCAATTGATAATTAACTTAATTGGTATCTGAGAATTCAGAATGGACATTTTTTCAATTATGTTTTGAAAAATTGTTTATGACAAATATTTTTCTGCTAGTTTATTCTCTAGGTTATATAATGTTTATTAGATTTTGATCTTTAAATTAAAAAAAAATTGTTTAATCGTTTCTTCAGACAAAGGTTTAAAGTATTAATTTAAAATACATTTCTGGTAAAAATTTGTCTCAGAATTTTTATACAGATCAGAATACATTACAGAAATACTGAGAAAATCTATATATTTTCTTAGAATGTGTTTTTCATATATGTGAATTCTAAAATTTTTTATTTTATAATTTTTGAAAAAAAATTTTAAAATATCTTAAACGTTTTCAGATTTTATAAAATTTCATAAAAAATTTAGGAATAAGAAATCTTAAAAATTTTAGAATATTTTAGGATTCATAAATAAAAAATCCTAGAAAAGATAATTGGTATTTATTTTAAAATTTTCTTAGCTGGCATTTATGGGTGCACTGTCCTAATAAAAATTGTTCATATAATTTTTCAGAATTACTGAATTAATAACTTTATCTATATAAATTTTCTTTGTGCTTACGAAGTGTTCCAATTTATATAAACAGTCCGAATAACTTTTTAAAAAGCTATAAAGT